TTTTTTTTTTTTTTAACCTAAAAGCAGTTTGTTTTTTTATTAAAAGTTCTATAATTATACCATAGATTTATAAAATCTCAAATACAGTAGTTCACTTTTGCTGGATTTCATCCAATCACTGGAAGAAAGATCTTGTGACATTTCGAAATCATAAATGAATTTAGCAGGAAAATCTGTATCTACCTATTTATTTTTCTTAATTTCTTGTGACAGTTTTTTGTTAAAGGACTTGTAGGTCAACAGATTTAAAATAATTATATGATCATCAGAGAAGAGAGACTGGATGAAGCATTACCAGTATCATTACAGTGGTTTTTTAGACTTTTTTTTTTCTGGTTGGGGTGAAAGGACAAGGGAACCCCGGAACCCTTTGACAGTCTGATGGAAGCTGTGGGTCTTCTCTCTAGAAAAATGCCCAGGTATACAATTTCCTGGAGTTTCATATCATTACAGTGGTTTTTTAGACTTTTTTTTTTCTGGTTGGGGTGAAAGGACAAGGGAACCCCGGAACCCTTTGACAGTCGGATGGAAGCTGTGGGTCTTCTCTCTAGAAAAATGCCCAGGTATACAATTTCCTGGAGTTTCAGACATTCCCTAGCAGCCCATCCAAGTAAAGAACCTCTGCATGACAGGACAATGATTCAAATCCTTTCTGTTGCTGAAATTGGTTACTTAATTCTCAGGACTGAACCATTTATGAGCCTGTGGCTGTGGATGGTGGCTGAGGAAGTTGAGGATTCTGCTTCTGGTGTGTGTATCACCCCAGGACACGCTTGCTGTTCTCTCTCAGTCTGGCACTGTCCCCTCCTTCCCGTGGATGTCCTCTGTTCCTGAATCTGGCAGGAAATGGCTGCAATCTCCACAGCTTCCTTTTCCCCAACTGCCCTTAAAAACCAGAGCGTGGAGCTGGCCTTCCCCACTCCTCTCTTTTAAGGATGGTACCTTGAAAGACTACACATTACATTAAAAGACTTTTCATTAAAGGAATATACTTTAAAGGTCTGGAGAGGGCAGACCCAGGGTGCTGGCAGCTTACATCTTAGGAGTCCTCAAAAACTTGGAACGTGCATCTTTTTCACAGCCTCTTTCCTGGTTTATATTTTCAGACAGTCTTTAAGGTGGTATCTGGGCTCATCACACCAACTTGTCTACTTCTGTATTGTTGAATTTTTCCATAATAAAAAGTTTAAAAATATTGTATTTGGTTTTTGTTCTCCACTCTCCAGGGCGGGGTTCAGCCTCCTTTCCCATGCATTGTCAGGAGGCTGGTAGTCCCTCTCCTGCTTCAGGAGTTCTGGTCTCAAGTGGCACTTCTGTCTCTGACCATCTCCAGGTTGGCAACATCCAGTTTACCTGGGAAGGCTTCTCTCTGGGTATTAACGCTACCAGTCCTGAATGACAGTATTGTCTGTGGCCACAGTGAGGAACCACACTGTGTTTCCTGCACCTTCCCACGGTGGGGGTTTACGTACATACTGGACTCTTCCTCTTCTGGCTCCATTGCCAAGCTCTCTCTCTCTCCTCACTGATAGATCTGCAAATCTAGTTACTTCCCTGTCATCTCTGTTTGAATGTCACCTCACGTCTGCCTTTACTGACACTTCTCTTACACCTGCCCTTCAGTTGTCAAAGAAAGTCCCCACCTCCCTCAGCTGTCCACACCCAATCTAATGGTAAGTAAATCCTCTTAATTCCACTTCTCCAATATCTGAAATCCATCCATTTCTCTCTATCCTAGAGAAGGTGCCCCCATCTCTTGCCAGTCCATCCTCTGTGCTGTGCCAGAGTTGTCTTTCTGAAGTGGAATCTGCCCACGTGCTTCCCTGATCGGAGCCCACCCATTCTCCACTGCACGTCAGGCGATTCTGATTCTCCATGATCTGATCCTTGCCTTCTTTTCCAGTCTCGTTTTGAGCTTCTTACCCCTCATCCCCTTCATTCAAGTCTTTCAGAACTCTGTGTAGTTCTACATGATCTTTCACATGCCCTTGGGACCTGTTATCCTTTGCTGTACAACCAGTCACCCCCAAATTTAGCTACTTAAAACAACAGAAACTTATTCTCTCACAGTTTAGGAGGCCTAAAGTCTGAAATCAAGGTGTCAGCAGGGCTGGGTCCTTCTGGAGGCTCTAAGGGAGGATCCATCCTATGCCCCTCTGCTAGCTTCTAGTGGCTGCCAGCAATCCTTGTCCCTTGCCTTGTAGATGTCTCACTCCAAGCTCTGCCTCCATTGTCACACAGCTTCTGTCCTGTGTCTCCGTGTCTCTGTGTCCCCGTGTTGTGGCAAAGTTTTGGATAATGAAATCATATTTGGTTATAAA